TCTTCCTTTTTTGTTGTTGAGAACTTTTTGTTTTTTATGTGTCACTCCATTGACTATTTTGTATCTGTATAAGTGACACCTAACCAATTTCTGTAAATTTACGATGAAAATTTGTAAATTTTTATTAATATGGTTAAATAAAATTTTAAAAAATTAAACATACACACAATTTAAAATAGTAGCAACGTATCTTTAATCTTCTTTAAAGAGAGATTACTAAGGTTTATCGGTCAAATGTTGAAACCAAATTTTGTTCTATTTGCGGTAATCCCACACAATAATTAATATGAATTCGTTACATAATACAAATTAAGGTTTTAAAAACTTTTAATTTGTTTTAAATTATAAGGTTTTTATTCTGCATAGAAATGCTGCTTCAGTTCATCTAAAGTCACACTTGGAAGCTTTCAAAGTGTATGAGGACCTTTCCTAATTTTATTATTTTTTTCAAAACATTTTTACTTATTTATTATTATCCCCTCCATAACAAGACACTTGGGAGTAAATAATACTAAGTATATGGTATAGACTCCAACTTTAACTCTGTAGTCCTTAATTTATAACTTTATTTGACACTGGCAATTAGCTTATTTTTATAACTTGTCCCACAGTAGCTTATAACTTTAATTACTTAAAATTTTTTGCCGAAGCCAAAGATTTGGCAGAAAATTGACCTGGCTTCGGCCGAACCGAAGCTTCGGTACATCCCTAATTAAAAATAATAATATTACCTATTCTGGTTACTTTAAATATGCAAATCATCTTTTAAAGATGATGTAGAATGTGAGTCTTACAATGGAATAACCAAAAAAATTTAAGCGTGTTGCTCATGTACAATAAAGAATTAGTACTCTTCTATTTCAATCAAAAGTTACAAAGAAACGTTCCTTTAGAATGTGAATAATAGTATGCAAAATTATTATGTTAGAATGGTATAAACTCAGTTTGATGAATAAGTTAGTGTTTATTTTCTGTTTGATGAACAAGTTGCTATTTTCTGTTTTTAAATGTATAATACAGTTAAGATTACTAGTAGGTTTCACATCAATAATATTACTATAACTCTAACAGTGGCGGATTAAGACTTTTTGGGGCGCGGGGCTATTTTTGTTTTTGGAGGTCTTTTTATGGGCCAGAGCTTAAAAATGACTAAAATAAAAAATAAAAAATGTTCTCTATAATTTTTGGGGACCCCTAAATTTGCGGGGCCCGGGGCTATAGCCCCCCCCCCCCCTCTTGATCCGGCACTGAACTCTAACTAAATATCAAATAACTTTTTTTTTCTGAAGCATCTGTACCTAATAACCTCTTATCTTAATTGCGTAATGAATCTTATCATTATTTCTAACAATTGAAATCATAAACAATAATTGTTGTCATTAGTTGAATAAAGTTAAAGGTCAGCAAACTATATAAAATACATGACTTAAGTTATAAATTGTTATTTTTTGTTATAAAATAGTTTATCTTTTAATTTTTTTCTAACGCGCATTATACTTTAATAAAATATATTCATTTAGGCTACCCCAAAAAGCGTCAAAGTTTCAGAAAGTTTATTTTGTATCGGCCTTTGATTGGGCTTGTTGTTAGCATTTTATTGATATGTCCAACTTGTTTGCAGTAAGAACATGTGGACGGTTTTCTTTTAACTTGAGGCAAACTAATGGAAAAATCTGGATCGTCGACCATTTCCGGAAGTAACTAAAATGATAATAACTTAAACCAAGCGCAATAATAAACAAGTTATTAAAAATTAATTTTAAAAATTGAATTAAAAAATAACTTCCAGACATGGAGCAAACTCCAAAAATTTATGTTTATACTTATGTCAAATAAGGATGCTTTGCATAAATTGTAACAATTTAAGCCTGAGAACAAAAAAGCCCTAAAATTTTAGCTACACCTGCCCCAAACGTGAGAGCAACAAGTTGATAAAATAATTTTTATACTATTCTTAACTAAATCTATATTTATCGATAAATTTTAAAATTCACACAATAATTTTTTATATAGTAGAAAAAATATTTTATCAACTTGTTGCTCTCACGTTTGGGACAGGTGTAGCAAAAATTTTAGGACCTTTTTGTTCCCAGACTCCAACATTGAAATTTTTTGCAAAGCATCCTTATTTGATATAAGTATAAATATATAAATTTTTGGAGTTTGCTTCATACCTGTTGGGTATCTCTAAAATCAAAAAATGCTGCATCCGCGCCTGGAAAAGATACCAAGAATTCAAGTTTATTGAAATTCTGTCACTAGTGCTCAGTGTCAAAAATAATCGATAACTATAACATAACATAAAGCGGTAATAACTAGTTCACCATACTATGTATAAAAAAATAAGAAATAACATATATTAACTAGTTTGTTCACCATACTACGTATAAAAAATGAGAAGTAACATATACTGGCATGCCGAAAAGATAATAACCCATTAAAAAAAAATTGTCAACCAAAAATTCTACAGCTCCAAAGGATAAAACTTTTCACATGTCAA